CTAATTATTATTTAAATTGTTACTCCAGTGAGTCCATTGACCATTATTGCTGTCTTTGGAAGGCTTTCAAACACATTACAGTAAAATGCACAATTCAAATTTCCTATTTGGGTGGGATTCCCCAACTTTTTTTTCAAGCTGAGCCTCTTTGACTAATATATTTACTTGTTTTTTAATTATTTATTTTAATTATTCATCACTTAATAGCTTTTCATTAAACTCACAAACCTCCTGCAGTTCCATCATGATCCCCAGTCTTGGAAACTCTGATGTAATTGTGTGTGGATAACAAACTATAGATTTAGTTTTGTTCTTTGTATTGTATCATTACAAGATTATCCTATTCAAATCAATGTAATAAATGAGTAAGGTCAAAACTAATCAACAAGTAGTTTGATTAATTTACTTTAAAAAGTGAAATGTATTGGAATACGTTACTAACTTACAATTTTTTCAATGTAATTTGGAAATCAGTTACCGACTACAATTTGTTCAAGTAGGCTACAAGTAATTGTACAAGTAATTTACCCAGCACAGAATAGGAGCATTTCATGTTTTCAGAAACTTGTTTAAGGCTCCTCAAAGTCTCGAATGTTTGAATGCCGTTTATATCAGCTTCTTTATGCGCACATTCTCAGTTTCTTCAATGGGCTCTGAAAGACCACAGTCGGTGACCTAATTATATTGTCAAGGCAATGGCATTAAAAGCCTCTGCTGATGAATTCCATTTCATAGTTTATTGAATCACAAAAAAAAAAAAAAAAAACTGGTCAGTACTGACAACAGTGCCATAATTGTTGACACTGTTGTCCCCTGTAGTCTAATTTTATCCCTAAAACCTTTGATCATCAATAACATTTCAAGTTTTTTCCTTGAAAAAGAAATCTTCATGTCTTAAAATAGCTTGAATGTAACTCTACTACACCCTTGCTTCATTTAGTATGCGGTTCTATGAAAATGCAAATTAGCCCCGCCTTCACTCCTTCACTCCAGCTCAGAGATCCACTCACTGTTGATCACAAATTGGCGCGATTGGTTATCTAAGGTAGTTTGGGACATCAGAAACTGCACCGATTTCAAAACCCACATTTTTTAGACTGTTTGACATGGATTGTTTTAAATCATATATTAAAAACACCACCTATATGTGTATATATATATATAAAAACCATTAAAATCTTAATTTTCACCACAGGGGGACTTTAAAGGAATATAACAACGACAGTTCTGTCTCACACTCCTGGTCTTACAAAGCCTGTATGACTTTCTTTGTCTGATGAACACAAAATAAGATATTTTGAAGAATCTCCACACAACTTTTTATTTTTATTTTTTATATTCAACCGCAGTTCATAGTGGTTAATGACTGTATACATGTATTTTATTGCTAAATGGCCAATGAAAGCAGTGGCAAATTTTACACACTGTGTAATTTTCCCATAAAACCTCAGTTATTTATATATATTATTGTTATGGATAACATATTGAAAATGTTGTGACTATTGAGTGTATAGCGAAGCTCATGAATAACAGTCTAACAGAATAACAGTCTCATATCCCATTCAAATTTAACTTTAATAATTTAACAGACTGTTTTAATCCAAGTGACTCACAAAAGAAAAAAGAGCTCTAAAAAGTACAAGCTGTTTGAAGCCATATGCTATTTTTGCACAAGGAACAGTTTTAAAATGGAGATAATTATTCAGTGATTTTCACTTTTGCTTCTCCATAAACTTGTGCTGCAAGTTGATCATGGAGACAGTGTGTTGAACTTGATCTCAAACCAGATCAATCTGATTATGAACAAATTGTTCAGTTTGATTTTGAAACTGGATCAAATTGTGAACTTGGCAGCCATATTTGAAACGCCTCTCGGCAGCTGTTTCAGTCTTGCAATTACAGCTCCTATCTTTTTGAATGGGGAAACAGCAAAGCTATTCTCCAAAGCTGTTCGCTAAGCTTACGATTCAATTACATATTTGAAATCGCCAATGACTCTGACTACAACTTGTCTCATACATTTTGTTTCTAAACTTTCAAATCATGACAAAAAAAAAAAAAAGATGAACGCGGTGAGTTTATCAATTGGCGATAGGCTCTTATTTAGACATTTAGAAATATATGTAAATTGAATACTTATAATGCATCAAGAATCTTTAGCATTTTTATATTTTGTGTGTCGCAGAAAATAGCAGCATGCAGGTTTGGAACAACTTTAGG